GTCTCTGCAACCTCTGGCCATGTCAGCCAGCGCTCTTGTACATGCTCGTGGATTCCCAGGTGTTTTGGGTTTCTCTCTTCTCTTCAAAGATGGCTCATCCTGATAGCCAGGCTACTGGTGGTGGGGATGTGTGTGTGAGTGTGTGTGTGTGTGTGTGTGTGTGTGTGTGTGTGTGTGTATGGGGGGTAATGAAAACTGACCAGTCCCCTCGATTAGTGTGATACAGGCCCTGTTCACATAGGCCCACTCACTCCTTTGGTGGGAGTTACCGAGACTAGGGTAGAGGAGCAATGATAAGAAACTCTGATGATTGCATAACTCTTCTTGATGTGATTGAACTATTGAATTATATTATATGTTAATTATATGCCAAGAAAACTGTTGGGAAAAAAAGAAATGTCATTCCATCCCAACACTGTGGCATCTAAAGTGACAGACTATAGCACCACATGGACCAACCCTAGAATGGTAGTGGGGTCAGATACCCAAGGGTGCAAATGCCAGGAGGCAGGCAGCATTAGGGACTGGGGGCAAATCACACAATAAACAAGTTAAGCAGGAGTATTGATGTGGTGAAATCCATGTGAGACTGTTCACTGTGGATGAACGACTCAGACTAGGTGAGCTCATTCTTACCTTGCTGAGTACTCCATCTGGCATTCCAAAGGCAAAACCAAGCTCACTGCCACGGAGTCATTTCTAAGTCATAGGGACCCCACAGGACAGAGGAAGACTGCCCATGTGACTGTTCACCGCAGAAAGCCTCGCCATTCTCTTGAGGAGCGGCCGGTGGTTTCAAACTGCTGGCTTTGCAGCTAGCAACCCAACTCATAACCCACTCTGCCACCAGGCTCCTCTCCTCTGGTCTCGGGCACTGGGTATTGTCAGGGATTGTAAATTTAAAAAGAAACTTTGATTCTGTAGGAATGGTCAATGGGACTGGGAGAGAGGCAGCTGCCAGCCATACCTAGAAGCGGAATCTTTGATGTGGTGGGAAAATGTTTTCATGTCTACTGTATACTAGTAAGTAAGCACAAACAAGCCAATGCTTACCTTGCTTACTGGGTAATACAACACTGAATCCCTAGACTTTTAATGGCTTTCCCAAGCAACGCCATAAACCCTTTAAAAAAAATTTAAATTAGAGCCAGAAAGCTTGAGATGATTAAGGTGGTTTATAATCTACCAGCATGCAAGGCAGCTGAGCATCAAGACAAATGTCTGGGTGAGGTCTGCTAGCCACGTACAAAGTATGTGGCCCCACATGCCTCAACAGTCCACCGCGGAGTCCAGCAAAAGCTTCACTGTTAAACAGCCCAGCCCTGCACTTTCACAAAATGCCAAGGACAGAAGTTGTCTCTTTCTATTAACGAGTCAGAATCGTGAGCAGATAAGGCATGGTGTACAAATCTGTCTTTACGATTGAGGCCTGGCTATGAAACAGTCAGAGTAAACCCTGCAACCTGGGAAGTCTACTTCTGACAGGAAGTTGCTTTGAAATAACTTCATACTTCATTCACTCCCCACTGAGGTCTTTGACAACTGGTTTGGGCACATCAATAAAATGTCTTGTCATTGCCGTATTTTGTTTTCATGCAGGAGTCCCCATGGTGCCCGTTCTTAGAGCAGCATCCACACTCTGATTTAGAGATGTCCCATAGATGACAAAGGAGCCCTGGCGGTGGCATAGTGGCTGCGAGTTGGGCTGTGATCCGAAAGGTCAGCAGTTCGAAACCACCAGATGCTCCGCAGGAGAAAGACGGAGCTTTCTTCTCCCTTAAAGACTCCCAGTCCCAGCAACTCACAGGGCTGTTCTACTGTCCCGTAGGGTCGTTATGAGTTGGCATTGACTCGATGGCAGTGAGTTTGGTTTTTAATAGCTTGCACCCGGTTTCATGTGGTTTCAGTGGACCCGTGAAAAGACCCCTACAGAAAAATGCACGGTCCTCCCTGGCTTGCATTTGTACCTCAAGAATTTAGAAGAAAGCGGCTGGTTAACATTACATAGACATTTTGAAGTACTTGTCTTGCAGAAATGCAAAGAACAATAGCAAGAAAAGCCTTTGATGGTTAAGGATTTGTTTTATTTTATGTACTTATTAATTGGTACACTTTCTCCCCCATTTTAGCCAAAAATTCTGGAGATTGAAACAATAAAATAAGTAAAGACACGTGTCTGCTTTGAAATCGTGATATTGGTTAAGTCTGTGTCGTCCTTCTGAATGCTTTCTGGGTATAAGGCTCTTTCTGTTCCCTCAGCCCAGCCGGGCAGCACTTTGATCTCCAGAGCAGTGCCATTGGGTTGTAAATGTATGTGGCGCCTTTGATCTAGTACTTAGCTGGTCTTATTTTAAATAGATAGCTGCTTTTATCTCAGTGGTGTTTACTAGGTCTCTCTCTATGAAAGATGGTTTAAATTGCTATTATTTAGATAGAAAGCTATATAAAATTTCTTGCAAGTGTCTGGATCTGAATCTAATTCTCTAAATTCTTAAACCCCCAAGGCTCTATTACTGATTCAGTAAAGCCAAATTCCTCTTAAACCATCACTCCTGCAGAAGTCGGGTTATACTAGCAGCAATTACCTTTGCTTTGTAAGGCATGATTGATCTTCTAAAGCCAACGATCTCTTCAAAATTCAGACATCTTACATTTTTACATTACTAGGTTACTCGTGTTGTGCAGCAAATCATAAGGTCAGCAGTTTGAAACCACCAGCTGCTCCCCAGGAGAAAGAGGAGGCTTTCTCTTTCCATATAGAGTTACAGTCTCGGAAGCATCAGCAGGCCTGGCCTGGCCTATAGGGTTGCTGTGATCAGCGTTGCCTCGATGGCAGTGAGTTTGGTATTCAGGGCGCTGTGGGTTCAGTGGTAGTCTGTTCACTGTAAGGGTGGTCGTCAAATCCACCAGCCATTCTGAGGGAGACAGGTGAGGCTGGCTGCTCCCATAACAATGGATCCTCTCAGAAACCCTATCCTGGGGGGCTCTGAGTCAGAATGAGTGCCATGGTAGGGGGATGTTTGTTTTTAGGTTCTGTGCTACTGTTGCTATGTGCGATCAAGTTGATTCCAATGGAGATCCCATGTGAGAGAGTAGAACTGGCCCATGGTCTCGTAGGTTATATGTGTAGGAGGAAACGTCCAGGCCTCTTCTCCCGCGGGGTAGCTGGTGGGTTCACTAGTGCTCTCCGTTGAGTCAGGAGCTCAGCCAGGGGCCCTAGGGCTCCTTTATACACGCGCTGTCCAGGGAATGTGAACCGGAGCTCTTCCGGGGGAGCACATGAAGTTCTCTAGTTCTCTTCGCTAAGAGGATTACTTAAGCATTGTGGTGTCCAGCACACGTTGTGACTTGCGTTTGTATTTTTCCAAGCATCCTTCATTCATTCAACAAAGAATGTGCCAGGTACAGGGGACAGAGAATGGCCAAGAAACAGATTCTGCCAAGAGCCCACAGCCTCAGTGCCATGGGGCATAACACCCGCAGACAATGCCAGTCCCCTGTGGTAAGTGCCCCTAGGGGCAGTTCTCCCAGGCTGACCTCGGGCACGGTCAGGGCAGCTTCCCTGCCATGTGGGCACCAGAGCGCAAGTAGAGATTGCTGCTGACAGATTTGTACTCAGCAGTGGCAGCAGCCAGGTCAGCCTTGGTAAGTGGAAGTTCATGTTGTTGAGCCCACACGCCACCCCATCCCTGCCACTGGGGCCACTTGGTTCAAGAGTCCATTGAGAAATCAATGCAGTGCTGACTGCCTTTGAGTTCACCTGGGTGCAGATCATCAAAGGAAGTTGCCTGTATCCGGAGATAAGCCATTCCTTGGTCCCGCTTCCCTCTGTATCGCTCCTTTCTCAGGCAGCCGCTTCTCTTTTCGTGGCTCCAGTGGCTCCACCAACCCAGCGAAAAGGATGTCTCCTGTTCAAAATCTCCAGAAAAAATCCCAGGGGAGATTAGATTAGGCCAGGCACTTGCCCTGAATCAATCGCTATAGAAGAGGGAACGAGGTGCCCACTGGCAAGGTTATAGACCCTTGTCAGTCCCAGCGCTGAACGGCAGCTGACCGTGGTACGCTCTATCCAGATCGTGCGGACCAAGGTGAGAGGATGGTCTTCAAGAAAATCAGGAAAGTGTTTTTAGAAGGAAAACCAAAACCCAAACCAAACTCACTGGCAAGTGGATGCCAACTCACAGCAACCCTATAGGAGAGGACAGAACTGCTCCTGCGGGTTTCTGAGACTGGAATGCTGTATGAGAGTAGAAAGCCCCCGTCTTCCTCTCACCAAGTGACTGGTAGTCTCGGGTCACAGCCCAGTTCGTGACCACACCACCACCGGAGAGACAGCAAAGGCAAACAATCGCCATCCACAACAATGAGAAGAGTCCTTGTTCTGATACAAACCGCAGCACCCTTGTCTGAACCTCACTGCCATGGAGTCGATGCAGATTCATGGCCATCCTGCAGGACCGGGTGGAACTTACACTATGAGTTGCCGAGACTGTAACTCTTCGGAAGTAGAAAGCCCGTCTTTCTCCCACGCAGTGGCTGACCTTGCAGTTAGTAGCCAATCTCATCCGAGGGTTGTGTTCTTCATGATCATATTACAACTCGTTCCCCTTCCCTGATTTTCTTCTATTTAATTGCCTATTCTCCTCTAGGATAGGATTTGAGGAAGGCCCTGGTTATTAATGCAAATCACCTAGCACACAATTGTAGCCATTATCATCTTTATCATTACTTGTTAACAGAGTACGTGTGTTACACGAGGTTACACATTTAATGATTGTGAAATAAAACAAAGAGCAATTGAAGACCAACCAAGACATTTGCATGGGCTCTAGAGCTGACAGAGAATGTGCACAGTTTTCAGGGGGATTAGCAGTGGGCATGGAAGAGTAGTCTTAGACAATAAATGTATGAACAGAAATGTCCAGAGACCCATTGATGCGGGGATGAAATGGTGAGATGCTAAATCCTTTCATAAAGCCTTTTCTGCTTCCCTTCTCCAGTGCTGCTTAAGTAGAGCTGAGGCCAGACGAGACGCAGCTAAAGTGGCGCTGATCAACTCTCTCTTCAATGAGCTGCCCTCCCGCAGAATCACCAAGGAATTCATTGTGGAGAGTGTTCAGGAAGCAGTTGCCTCCACCAGCGTAAGTACCCGCAAGGGGTGGGAGCTGCTCAGAATGAACTGAGGAATTTGAATCTTGGGAGGTGCTGAAGTGAGCAGAATTTACTTTAAGGAATCTAAAAGATTCATTTTCACCCATTAAATCATTCATTTTCAGCTAAACAAAAACAAAACCAGTGGATTTATCCATTGTGAAACTGGAGCTGGCTCCCAATTTCAAATCTCAGTAACCTTCTCTCGCTTCCTGCAGCATAATCTCACTCAAACTCACAGCCATCCAGGAGGATAGAGTAGAACTCCTCACGGGAGCCTTTGTGAGGCTGCACATCTTTTAAAATTATCATTTCATTGCTTTATTGAAATATAATTTGCATGGTATACAATTTAATGCTCTAGATTATGCTTATTAAAGAGTTGTGCAATTGCCATCACAATCAATTTTAGATTTTTTCTCTCTCTCTTGTGTCCCTAATATCAGCTAGATGATTGGGCTGATGAGGTTATGTGAAGGAGCCAGAATGTGTGACTGGTGACCATATTGATGCCCAGGGTTGTGATGCCCAGAACCTATGTTAGTCTGGGTACTTTAGAGAAACAAATCCACAGAAACTCATATGTATAAGAGAGAGTTTTATATAAAGGGTAAATGCACATCAAGAAAACATCCCAACCCAGTGCTGCCCAAGCCCACAAGTCCAACATTAGCCCATATGTCCAATACCAATCCACCAAGTCCTCCTCCATCTCACAAAATCAACACTATGATGCCAACTACAGGAGGAAAGCCGAATCAGTGCGCGTGTAAGCATCTCAGCACTGGCAGGGGTCTCCACATGGCTGCTCCAGCACCCAGGGTTGCATCAGGGTAGGTCCATGTGGCTTCTCCTCAGGGATGTCTTGCAGGAAGTGAGCCTTGCCAGCTGAAGCAGGGAACTGGCTAAGGCACCTGCACCCTGGTCCAACCATCAGAAAGCAAGAGACCCGAGAACTTGAAAGGCGAGGCTCACCAAGCCATTTATCTCTCCACCCTTCAATTAACCTCATATGTGTTTATCGGCCAGGTTGGCACAATAAACTTTAACTCAATCCACCCCTTGCCAACTTGGCACCTGTACATAATTCTTTAGCCTTATGATTGAAATTAAGTAACACCTAGACTTTAATCCTATAATCCTGTGAATATGGCCCCCCACCTATGAAAGTTTGTAAGCCAACCACTTCATGCCTTTATCCCCCCAATTTTGGGTATCCAATTTACATACTGCCCACTTACATCAACCCAGTACTCTGAGGAGACAATCATATTTCCTGACCTGAAGAATCTTCATTCCAGTTGGAACCTTGTGAAGTCTGCATCTATAAGCAAAGTCAAATCCAGACAGGCCATCCATAAAGTCAGCAACAATATGCACCAGTTCACAGGCTCAAAAGTCTCTGGTCAGGTTCTGGTCATCAACTCAATGTGGGCTGCCTCACTCAGCCTCCACAGAGTGCCCATTGGTTGCTTTGCATTTAGCCCATGGGCTCTCACCAAAAGTCAACAAGCCTAGCCCCCTCGTGCTAGGTCATGAACCTTAGACCGGTCAACCCGCTCTCATCTTCTCTTTTTCCTGTAAACCAGTCCACAGGTGTCAGTGGCCAAACTCAATCCATCTCTTTATTGCTGCATTTCTCCCTCTTCCATTGAGCAAGTAGATCCAGGTGGTCACCTAGCAAGCATTTCAGCCTGTTCTCAGGCTCCCTTTAACATTCAGTCCCAGAGAGGAGTTTTCTTCATGGTTCCAGATATTTTCCAGCTTCTGATAAAGACTTCTGGTTCCTGAGAACTCCGAAGCACTGGGTGGGGCATATCTTTTCAAAGATTTATTTACAGGCATGGCCTAAACCCATCTAAAGACCAAATTTTAATGGCAGAAAGCTAGTGAGCTAACAAGTTTTCTATTTTCATATTTCCCTTGTTTTCCCCAGAAGACAACTGAGTAAACAGTGTGGCTTTATCTGACCTCTGGCTAGACAAAGAAGAAAAACTACATGAGGGAGAGGTCAAACAAACATCTACTCTCCATCTTATGATTTGTTTCTCCAGTACCCCA